AGTAGCCCGGAGATTTGAATTTGGAATTGGGGCTTATTACTCTATTTATGAGTGGCCAAGGATGGGTCTTACAACCTAACTCTATAGTGAGGCTGCCCGAAGATTTTGATTATTTGAGTAGGACTTATGGCTTCCCTTAGAAAGTAGCCTGAAAAGCGGGTCTTACAACTTAATCATTTAGACTAAGATGCCCATAGGTTTAAATTTTATTTTTTGAGGTTTAGGTTCATTATAAATTTATTTCATAATTTTCTTAAAATATTGGGGCTTACGACTTCAATTAGAAGTTGCCTGATAATTTGTTTAGTTTGGGGCTTATGGCTCCAATTAAGAGTTACCCGGATAGTTTGTTTAGTTTGGGGCTTACGGCTCCAATTAGGAGTTACCCGGATAGTTTGTTTAGTTTGGGGCTTACGACTCCAATTAGGAGTTGCCCGAAGAATTTTAGTTGGATAGGTCTTATGGCTTTCTTAGAAGTTACCTAACAATGGTTTTTATGACCTAGCCCTATAAGCTAAGCGGCCCGAGTTATAGGTCTTACAACCTAGTCCTTTAGACTAGGAATTTTAATTGTTTGGGTAAGACTTATGGCTTCCCTTAGGAAGTAGCCTAAAAAAGTGGGTCTTACGACTTAATCGTTTAAACTAAGATGCCCATAGGTTTAAATTTGATTTTTTAGGGTTTAGGATCATTACTATTTATTTAGCAATTTTCCTAAAATGTTGGGGCTTACGACCTCAGTAAGAAGTTGCCCGAAAGCGGGTCTTACAACCTAACCCTATAGACTAGGATGCCCAAGTGAGGGGTCTAGGTGTATTATCACCTATACACTTCTCTCAGATGTTGGACTTACGGCTTCTATTAGAAGTGGCTGGGGTAGTTTTAATTAGTGATTAGGAGTTAGGTCAATCTTTTCCTAAAATTTCCCCTTAAGGTCGGGCTTACGACTTTCCTACGAAAGTTGCCGAGTAGTGGGTCTTACAACCAAGTCCCTATGAATGAGGCTGCCCAAATGTTAGATTTGATTATTTAGAGATTTGTTCTAAACTTGTTGTGAGTTGGTTGAGTTTTGTAATTTTGATATTTTGAGGGTTTTTGACACTTGTGTTAGTTTTTTTTTTTTTACATGTAGTCTTTTTTCTTACTACAGTAGTCTAGTTCTCTACCTATTTTCTAGCACTTTTGCTCTACTAGTTTTCCGTACTTAGCTTTCTTGCTTTCCAGAATTTCATTCTAAATGCCGTGAATTATATTTCTCAGCATTCATTCAATTTATTTATGTGATATTGACTCTTCATTTGTTTGTTCGTAGGTGTTCGTAGTCAGTAGTTGCAGCAGTCATGGCTCGTATTTGTAGAGGATAGATCCCAAAGAAAGTTGCAAGAACTCGTACAAGAGGGACTTTGGAGAACTTGCATAAGAGTTCATTTTGAGTGTTTTAGAGAGTTCTGAGAGTTTGTACATAAGAGCTTTGGAGAGCAGTTTTGAGAGTTGTATTGATTTGATAATTATAATTTGAGCGATTTAGAGAGCAATCTGTACAGAGTTGAGAGTTTGAGAACTTTGTATATGTTGATTAGTGGAATTTTATTCTCTTTTCTTTATTGCCATTTTTTATTAATTAAATAATTAACCCATAAATCAATTCTAAATTACATTGCTCTCAAAAAAAAAATTTAATAACTCTTGAATTTTATATGATTTATCACGCTCTTTGTTATCTTACTAACTAGAAGAATAGGTGATAAGTTGAAGATTAGAGATCTCAAATGTTTCAAAGAGAAATAATATTTGAAATATTAAAAACAATTCAAAGTCTTCCACTTAATATTACTTGCGTTACAATCTTTAAAGAGGGGTCTTATTTAGAGACAATTAAGATAGTTTCATTTAAAGTCCTTCGAGTTATTTCAAGAAAAAAAAAATTTGGGCTAAGACGATAGCCAACAAATTATAATTTATGCTGAGTGACATTTGGGAGAGTAATGTGTGTTTGTAAGTTTCTCCACTCCCGTGCATTTGATGGCATAGGAGACTTTGAAGATCTCAATTAATCAATTATTTTGATTAATTTTAATCAAACTAATTTTATTAAATATTAATTAACTGAATTAGTTAATTAATACTTAAAAATCAATTTTGATATTTTAGTTAATTTAATATTCAAATTGAATTTCCCTTTGAATTTTGAGAAAATTTCGGCAGCCTCTCGGCGTCTCCTCCCTACTAAGGGAGAAATTGGGACGGCACTTTTTGTAATTCTTCCTACCCAGACCTAAGGTCGACGGCGTAGGGTCTTTGATTTCAAACCATCTCACTAGGATCTATGATCAACTGCTTGAGGTCTTCAAATTATAAAACCATCCGCCCAGATCTAAGATCGATGGCGCGGGTCTTCATATTTAAAACCATCTGCCCGGATTAAAAATCAACGGCACTGGTCTTCAAATTCAAACCATCCCGATCAGACCTATGGTACGACGGCTGAGTGACGCGTGCAATTTTCTCGGCCTCCTGTGAAGCAACGGAGCCGAACAACAACAACGAAAGGATAAGATGAACGGAGAACCCTAGACGCTTATGCGAAGCAATGAAGTCGAACAGCCACGAGGGAACCGAATGAGCGAGCGTCAGTTTTTTTTTTCACGGGATTCCTTCCTTTTTATCTCTTTGAATTGTCGGTGCCTCCGAAGAGGTGCGTTTTTTCGGAGATGTGAGGCCAGTAGAGGTGGTTGCTGGTCTGAGTTTTTTTTTCTGATTTAATTTAATTTTTTTTCTTAAGTCAACAACTAGGTTTACTCAAATTATCACTTCACTACATGTCTTAGGAAGAGAACTCACTAACTATAAAAAATTTAATAAAATTTTGAGATGATTTCCTTCTTTCTTGGATCACTCATTGCTTATGAGCAAGGAGTGAACTAAAAACAACGTGATGCAAGTGAGAAAAAGAACGAGAAAATTGTGGTGCTGAAGGCCAACTACACAAACACTAATTCTTCTGAGTCTGAAAGAGATGATGTTGCCTTAATCACTAGGCAATTCAAAAGCTTTCTAAGGAAGTAGCAAAAACACTATCAAAAGTGGAATAAAGGTAAGAGTAGCAAGAATCTTAAATGTTCTACAGATATGATTTTCTTTGAATGCAGGAAGATGGGACATGTTAAAAACTTATTTTCCTATACTTCAGGCTCACCTAAGTAAAGAGAAGTGTGAGGAAACCCCCAAGTTCAAGAAGGACAAGAAGCAATTTCAAAAGGCATTCTAGGTAGATTCTGTATCTAACTCCTCTGAGACTAAAGCTAAAAAGGATAGTACAAACTTATGTTTGATGGCGGACAATTATATTGGCATGTCTGACCAAGAAGAGGTATGTGAACTAACATATGATTAATTACTTAAAGTTTCTGAAAAAATTCATGCATCATATAGGAAACTTAAGAAATCACATGCTAGCTTAAAATTGGAATTTTTTAAAATTTATAAAAAGAGCATGAAGTTTACTAAATCTCACTCTACACTTGAGAGCAATCATATGTCATTATTTGATAAATTTGACAAGTTAAATAAAAAGTATTCTGAGTTAGTCATTGAGCTTGATTCATTGAAAGCATCTCACACCTCATTTAAAAAAAAATTAAAAAATATATTGATGAATTTGAGAGTAGGGAGCACTATTTTAAAGTTGATAATACTATTTTAGAAAGTGCTAACTGATTTTTTAAAGCTAAATTGAAAGAACTTGAGGGAAATAGGACTCCACCCACACCTAAATAGTTTTTCAATCCTGATCCAAATCCAAAACTTTTAAAACTTAGGAAAAGGCACTATAGCCTGAATTGATTAGTAATCCCCTTTCCTGGTGTTAGATGTTTTTTATGTGGCATGCTAGGACACATTTCACATACTTGCACTATTCACCATAGTACACATTGGGTGTGGAGACCCAAATTATATGATGCACAGCATAACACACATGTATTGCATTCTTTTTCTATAATAAGGGTCCCAAACTTATTTGGGTTCCTAAATCTAATGATTGATGATTTTATAGGATTGCTCTCACAAAAGACCTTCTGAGAGCATGTGATACCTGGACAACAGATGCTCATAACACATGACTAGAGATGATAATCAATTTGTTTCACTGCAGGTCAAGGTTGGAGGTAAGGTCACTTTTGGCGAAACACCACAAAGAAAGTGGTGAGTGCATGTATAATAATAAACTCCAATAACCTTTTGATTGAAAATATTTTGCTTGCAGATGGACTGAAACATAACTTTCTCATCATCAGTTAGATTTACGATAAGGGCTTCATCATAAAATTTTTTATAAATATATGCATTATTAGCTTGTATAACAACTGTATTTTGTAGGAAAAGCAAATTAATAATATTTACATGCTTGATTTAAATAATACTAAATGTGTTGCTTCATTTTGCTTAAAAACTATTGTTGATGAGTCTTTGTTGTGGCACAAAAGGTTATGTCATGCCAATATGAAAAAAAATTAAAAAAGTGATCCAAAAAGACCTAGTTAGAGGTATCCCCAAGCTTAAGTTCACTAAAGACCACATGTATGATGCCTGTCAATTAGGGAAGCATGTCCAATCCTCTTTCCATTCCATTAAGGACATTAGCACCTCTAGACCTTTAAAAGACCTTCATAAGAATTTAATTGGACCCATCAGCACTGCCAGCTAAGGGGGGAAATTCTTTGGATTTGTGATTGTCGATCACTACTTGAGGTTCACTTGGATTAAATTTATGTCACATAAAAGTGAGTCTTTTGATGAATTTAGATCCTTCTTCACTTGAATTCAGAAAAAGCTAGGTTGTGAGATCTTAACCATCCATAGTGACCATGGTGGAGAGTTTAAAAATGAGAGATTTAGAGAGTTTTATGAGGATAAAGGGATTAGTCACAACTTCTCAGCTCCTAGGACCCCTCAACCAAACAAGGAAGCTGAAAGGAAGAATAGGATCTTAGTTGAGGATGTTAGAGCCATGCTTGTTGAGTTTTCACTTCCAAAATACTTCCAATCCCAGCCAAATTATTCCTTTTCAGAGCTGCGTCTACATTAATTTTAATCCACCCGGGTGGAGGAGGATGCCAAGGAAACAACAGCAATTGTTGATTAGCATCCCAGTTATCTGGTTGAATATTTAAAAAGTTACTTCTAACAGCAAATGAAATAGCATTCGTAGAAATAGTATTATCCGAATCATCCTTATCACCATGAACCACCTTACATCTACTCTTCCAAACAAGATAAACAGCAGTACAAAGAATATTTGCACTAAGAGAATTCTTTCCCACAAGCCTTTGAAGGCACTCCAGGCAATCCAGAAAGCCGTTAAAAATCGGAATTGAAAAACCCAAGCTGTTCACTAAAGATACTACATTCTGGATCTTGAAATAATTACCAACCAAATGGCAGTTATCCTCATCTACTCCACAACCTCTCGGGCAACCAGGAAAATTGCTTAATCTCCTATTTACCAGGAAAGTATTGAACGGAAGGGCATTTTTGCAAATTCTCCACCAAAAAAGTTCAATTTTCGGTTTTAACTTAAGCTTATTCATCCAATTTCAATGAGCAACCTCCTCCTCATGAACCATAGCTGCTTCAAATGCCAAGACCGTGATAGATTTCCAAGCGAACTTACATTTCAACTCTAGCACATCTGAATTTCTGTTGATATTAATAGGAATAATAGAAATTATCTCCATAAGCTGCTCCCCAAAATTGACTTTAAGCTTCTCCAAATTCCATTCACCATTTGAAATGAAAGTGCTAAGTTTAACATCTGAAATGTTTTGAATATTAACAAATATAGGCCATTTAGCAATACATTTGTCTAAAATCCAAGAGTCATTCATCCAGTTGATAGAATCCCCATTGGAAATACTCTATCTAAGAATATTTTTGAGAAATTTAGCTCCCATAGTAATAATCTTCCAAGAGGATGAAATACCTCCCTTCACAGACTCCGACCACAAATCTTCCCCATACTTAGCTCTTAGTATTTGATTCAATAAAGAATGAGGCTTCATGTACAAATTCCAAGAAAATTTGGCCCGAAGAGGACCAACCTTTGACACAGCAGAAAACAAACCTCTACCACCCTCAATCTTCGACTTACAAAGCAAATCCCAAGAAGCATAATGGAGACCAGCATTGCCATTATTTTTACTCCAAAGGAACCCTCTTCACATCTTATCAAACTCCTTGAGAATACTCAAAGGAACTAACGAAAGAGTAGACAAAAACTGAGGCAAAGACAGGAAAGCTGATTTAACTAAAACCAATTTACCTTCCAAGGAAATGCATTTCTTCCCCCAAGTATTAAGCCTATTAGTAGCAACCTCCAACAACACCTGGAAATTTGAAGCAATCAGCCTCCTTAAGGTCATCTTCACACCAAGGTAGCTAATTTCCTTCAACACTTTAAATTTGAGCTTCTTAACAATCTTCTTCTGGATGTTCCTTTTAGTAAACCTCCCAAAAATAATCATAGACTTCAAATTGTTAACCTTTTGCCCCGTACAATTACAATAATTGGAAATGATTTCCTTCAACTCCTTGACTTCTTTGATCTTAGCTTTCGAAAAGATTAAAATATCATCCGCATAGAGTAAGTCAGAAACTCTTGGAGCTAACGGAGAAATTGGAACTTAGGAGACCTTTCTGATGCTCTACAAGTCATCCCAAGGATTTGATCTTAGGAGACCTTTCTGATGGAGTTAGGACTAGACATGGACTTAGGAAGGAGGTGAACCACTCTGCCTTTATCTCAATGACTGAACCCACCAATATAAACCAAGCCCTTACTAATGAGTTTTGGATTTTAGCCATGCAAGAGGAGTTGAATCAATTTGTTAGGAATGATGTTTGGGAGCTTGTAGAAAGACCTAAGG